TTATCCTATTTGAGGTAACATTGAAGTATATAATTAGAAATTTACGTGTTAAAAATAAAGCTATGATTTGAATCAAGTGAACATTGAGGTCCTGTAAGAGAAGTGAATCGAGGATACGAGATAAATTAAGTTAGGTTTTGATAAAATTAGATTTTTTTTATATACATCAAATTGCATTTTTATTTAAGAGTTCATGCACATTTATCTTAAAACAAAAAAAGAAGTGAGTATATTTGAATTGAGAAGCAAGGAGAGTTTGAAATTTATAAGGCTAGGATTTTTCTATTCAAGCTAAACTAATGTTTATATGCAATTGAAATTAGAGGTATTCGGTGTTATTTTATAAACTAATTCCAGGAATCTAATTTAAAACAAATAGTTAAAGAATTTGGAAGGGATCATTTCATAAGAAAAATTTGAGGTGAGCATCCTTACTTTTAAGTTATGGTAGTTTTTTCGTTTTTTCTAAATTGAATTCATTGACTGTTACTGAAACTTGATTGCACCACTTCACTGTGATTATACACACTTTTAGATATTGGTCATATTGTTGTGATGAATATATATTTTTAGAAACACTTATGTTATGGATTATGCATTGATAGAATTGATTAAAAAGAGCATATGAATGATACAAAATGAATGATACTATATAAGATTTTTACATGTGCATGATTGACTATGATAGAATTCACCCTCTTATGATACAAAATAAATAATTATGGAGATGATATAATATGACAATAAAAATTTTAAAATATCTTGATCAATCATATTCATAAATATAAATTGTCAAATGATCTTATACTGATTTATTAAAAATTTAACTAACATCCATATTATTTTCCTTTTTATACTATTATTAAAGTTTAGAAATAAGAGTTTTCACTTGCTGTTGTAGCTAATTTTATTTTAAATTAACCTTTTCAAGTTTAATTATTTGAATAAAAGATGAAAAATATAAAAAAAAATATCAACAGAAGATGTGGAGAACTAAGTTAAGGAAAATTCATCATTTGTTTAATTAAATTTGTAAATATGTAATAGCCCTTCCATTTATTTTGAAATTATTAAATATTAGTTATAGAAGAATTTTGATTATCACAGTCCAACCGTATGTTCCCACCTTGGTTAATTTCAAGCCCCAAGTTAGGTGGTAAATAAGCATTATTGGTTCTTATCCTCAACAAAGCTTCTTAACTAAAAAAAATGCGAAAAATTGAAAATTTATGAAAAAAATGATGTAAAACTTACGATTCCTAAATCACAAAAATGAAAATACTCCCTTGAATTTTTGGGCTTAGCTTCCACATAGGATCTTGAAAATCAATATAGATAGTTGTGATTAAAGATAAACCTCGACAGGCTTGCTTGCAAAATAACAATTAGAGATTATTCTGATAAAACTATTACAGTTTTCTATAAATATTTCGGATATGTTTGGAGCAGCTGTAACTTATTTAAAAGTTGTTGCGCAGCAACTGAGGCAAAAAGTTGTTGCCCATAAGCTACTGCGGATAAGCTAGTTATCCGCTTATTTTTTGAAGTTTTGAAACAACTGTCTGAACAAATGATATTTTTGCTCCTATATTATAGTGTTGTTTGTGACAAAACTATTCATACTAGCATTTTCTATACTTGAAAGCAAATATTTAGTTCAAACATTACAAAATAAAAATAACCTCATTAAGCATTGAGTAGCATGACAACCAAGATTAAAAAAATGATTATTAAAATAACAATTCATAATATGACAATAATATTTTTAAAATGCACTTGATTTATGTCATAAGATAAGTCGTCCTCCAATGAAGCTCTCCACGTCCGATCGGTATCGACGGTGGAATCCTCCAATCTATCCACCCACCTAAAGAAGTCATCGCATTCTGTTCTTCTCCCCGGACACATGTAAAATATTCTTCCGTAGTTATGTAGTTGTCGCGAAGTAAGCAGGGAATATTGTAGTTCGCAGTAACAGTACAATGCTCTGGAGGTACCGGAAATCCTCGAGCTCATCTTTCTTAAAAGCTTAAAATCACAAAGAACAGGCTCTTAGATACAATATTCATGAAAATGAACAATAGAAGTAATCAATTAAAGTTTAATGCAGTTAAGAAGTCTCAAAGAACAAGCATATAAACTACCGAATATGTCACTACAAAAACACAGCAGACCTTATAAAAAAGAGTTCATGGTTGTCTTTAACCCACATAATATTGAGCTCGTGTGCCCACATATGCATATGACCAAAAAAGGTCATCCGAAAGAACCTCAAAAGTCATAGAACTGAAAAACAATAACTTGGTTGCCTCCATTGGGATTTCACATGTAACAAGAATTAATAGTGACATATAGGCTATCCAGAATAACCCTTAAGGTTGAATGTCTCAACATAGACCTCCAAAACAAAAAAAAACATATGCAATAAAAATTTATATCTACGGTTGCCTCATTGACCATGCAAGTGGTAAAGAATACATGCAAAAGAGTGAGAAAAAGAATTGAGATTCAAAATATAGATAATTGGATGAAACATCGATATAATAAATAATAAAAGTTTCACCGCACATTGCAAATAAAGTAGGAATAAAAAAGAAAATACAATGGGTCCATTCAACAGCCAACGATGGAAATTGCAATCAGCTCTCTCAGCTCTATTATCTCCCCTGCACCTTCCCCCATCAACTCTCAGGTAATTCATCTTCTGCCTATGATGAAGATTGACCTAGGCGATATTCACCTGCTTCAGTAAGGACATGTGAATGATCTTCATAAAAATCACAATATACAAAAAAAACGCAACGTAATCTTGATAAGTTACCACGCCCCTATGCTGGTTTTGAAAAGGTGATCACCATCCTCCTCTATCACATCACAAATCACATTAGACAAGACAACCTCAAACTCAAGTAACATTCACAAACCTAATTGAGCAAAGAAATTCAAAACCAAAAACCGACGTGGGCAAAGAGAACCAAAAAATCCATTCTAGCAGCCAGACATCGAAAAGAGCAAAGAGACCAAAAATCATAAGAGAATAAGGACATTCCAAATCCTTCTCTTCCGACCGCAAACCCCATATAACAAGGAGAGCACATACCGATTTCTCCAAAATTAAAAAAAAATAATTGAATGTTCCACAAATTCTCCATAAATTTAAATGAAAAATGAACCTCATTCTTCCAACCACAATCCACAAACAATAAAGAGACCAAAAACCAAGTTTCCTAGACACACAGAAAAAACGAAACAGTGAACTTCTGAATCCATCTATTCCAACAACGTAAGGCAAAAAGTAAAAAGGCCACAAACCAAATTTCAGAAAAAAGCAATAAGCCAAAAATCGAGAAGAGCAAAAGAGTCGCATTACCAAAAACCGCGGCAGCAAAAGGACTGCATGATACATACCACATACCAAAAACCGCGACAATAAACCAAAAATAAACATTGATGAATGTAGGGAAGGAGGTACCGGAGATAGTAGGAGAGCGTAGAATTGAACACTAGAAATCCCTCGCCGGAGAATGAATAAAAGAAATGGAAAAAAATAAACCCTAGGCAATGTCGTCGCTCAAAGGAATAGGCATAGAGGGGCAGCCAAATAATCACGAACCAAGTGAAACACCAAAGATGGGGCCTCGTATGGAGATTATTCTGCATTTTTAATAAAACAGCCGCGCCATTCTTTCCAAACACTAAAATCACCATTTTCAAAATGCGCCGCAGCGAATAAGCTGCACCAAACGGAGCCTTAGTCTATCAGAATTCCATGTTTGTTAAAGTTGCTAAGTTTCTATGGTTTGGAACCAATTTTATTGATGGTTACAATAATATATGAACTAAGATGGGTGATCTGAACTTTTTGCAATATTTACAAGGAATAAAACCATCAGCTACCAATAATACCATCATTATGAAGTAATATTAAGCTCTGACAATTAACAACTCAATTCAGATTACCTCATAACTTTACAGCTAATTGAGTAGCCAATGAAAGTTGTGAGCTGAAGGAATCTAGAACATTATTACAGTATGACGTAGCAGGAAGCTCATTTGTATAGCTAAACACAGCAAAAGTTCCATTAAATTTTTTTATTATTGATAATGTTTATGTTCTTTCTTTAATGATTGTCGTCCTTCTCACTTCTAGGGTTATCTTCGGGTTTACTCGTTCCTTTCTTTTTTGGGTCTGATTTGGACAGCAAAGCCAAAGTCATGAACTTCTTAATCTGGCTATTTCCCCTTCTGAATAATTGTGAAAGTTTCCAAATTCCTAATACCAGGTTCTCTATTAATTTGTGGTAACTGATAATGATGAAGTTGGTGGCATCCACAACATAGGTACCCTCCACTATTGTCCATGATGAGGTGTTTGTTTGGATCTCCTTGTTCTTGGGATTATGATTATGGTGGTCTATTTAACAGAATGCGAGGCACTGCAACTGGTTGGTCTAAAATGGATCTAACTGGCTTTTTTTCTATTTTACATATTAACTTAAGAAGACAGGGCACATGAACAATAACTTAGGATGTGCGTATTGGGAAAATCTGTTTACCTAAAACAGCAACTTAAGGTGCTTAACTCTTTATAATTTCATTACAACACACAGACATGCACACATTCATGCGTATTTAGGCGCGTAAAAATGTGTGATTGCTTGAAGAACTACATGAATCTTAAAATTAGCTTCCAATGCTTTTATGTGTGAAAATGTACGAATGCTTTAACAACAGATAAATCTTAAAATTAACAGCGAACATATGGTAATACAAAACATAACTAATAAAAGAAAATGATATCCATAAACAAGAAACCATGGTACAATAGTGACTAGCAGTCAATGTGAAATTAAAGTTGAAGGCAGAATGGCAAGCCTTCGTTGAAAAATTAAATAAGTTATAAGCATCAAACTGCGAAAAAGAAAAAAAAAATGATGGAACTTGTTTGCTTGAATGTGATCTAGAAGCTGGGTAACTCTATCAAGACATGAGTTGTTCACCTGATCCCACATCAAGAGCACGCAGGCCTGACTTAAGATGATCCTTTAACAATTCAAGGCAAGTTGCGTGCATATGAGGTGCCGATATTGTTCCATTATAGCCTATAGGCATCGGGCTATCAGAATATGGCGGGCAGCGATCAGGTACAAATAATCCCCTGTCAATGATTTCCATAACTTCAGCTACTTTCTCTGACTTTATAACACCATAATGCCTCAAATATTCCATGAGTTCTTTGTTCTTTTCAATAGATGCCCTTGTCCACAAACCCTGTAATAGCGACAGATCAAGAAGAACAATTAATTTCTTTCAAAATCCAAAACAAAAAAAAAAGAAAATGCTCAGCATATACATATCCTCCAAATATGCAGCAGATGATAAAAACAGAACACCATAATACCATCCATCTTCTTCAGTAGGTTTCCACAGTAAACCAATATTTACAAACAAACTTCAAGATACATGTGAAATTGATAAAATAAATAAATAAAAGTAGCATTACAAACAAAATTCAAAGGATTGTCCCCTTTATGAGATTGAATGCGCTTTCACAGCCCCACCAATTTTAGTTTTTAGTGCTTGGGATTGAAATAACTGTTCAATCGGATTGTAGTGAGAGAAGATAATCTAGGACAAATGAAAATCCTCAATCACCACATCAAACAGTTGAGGTACCAAAAGTCTTATCTCATCAACCTCAAACCATCAAAGTAGAAACCAGCACTTCCAAGCGATATCATGCTTGATAAGTGTTATGCCAGTAGTAGAGTGAAATGTATCAATGTAGACATAAACAATAAATGAAATGTGTTCCTTCCAAAAAAATCATAATAAATGATGCAAGACCCCAATATCTTTAAAAAACTAAATAATCTCTTCTAACAAAGCCTCTATATTTGAGTGAAATGTGAAAATGTAGTCCAATATAAGATCCACTGCTCATGACTCTTCCACAATCTTGAAGTGCTATCTCTATTAAAATTAAAGCTACAGTAGCGCCATAAGACATAATATAATCCATGCATATATATAATCCATGCATATCATAGCCAACTTCTGCATTGAATAGCCTTATTTAGTGGGGAAAATGGAAAGTGATTTAGTAAATCTAGCCATTGTTTAAAAAAGCATTCGATGTTTACACCTCCAGGCATACCTCAAACTGAGACGCAAAAAAAAAAAGTCTTGAGGCTTGCCCCTTTTTTCGTCTCAGGCCTAGTGGTAGAGCCCCGATCAGGTTATGCAAAAATATATATTACACTACATTTAATATATCTAATACAATACTTCAAATTGGTCAAAAGATAATTTAAATCTAATACAATACTTCAAATTGATCAAAAGATAATTTAAGTATGTTTATGTTATTAATTTATTCTTTATTTTAAACTATATCGGATTTCGAATTAATTGATAGTCAAAAAAAAAATAGTGAGTGAAGAACACTTCAACAAAGGAAATAAAATAGACTTAGATGATAATAAAGACGAAGATTCTTTTGAAGACGATGAAAGCAAAAATGTGTCCATTATGCATCTTGAACCTCATGAAATATTTAAATTTTTAGTGAACAACAATCTAAAATCACAATTCAATCTTCTATTTTATGTCAATATTTAAGATTAAGATTTGTTGTTTACATCCTTATGATAAAAATCTAAATCAACATATCAATATTTTATATCATATTTATGAATTCTTTTTAATTTTATGTAAGATTACTCCTCACCTCGCTGTGGCAAAATAGCTCAATTCCTGGATTCACCTTTTAAGACTTCGAGTCTAACCATAATGATCTACATATCTACAGAATATCATTTCCTTGTTTGGATCTTAGAAAACAAAAAAACAAACACCATGAAGTCTCTCCTCATAAAGAGTGAGAGTCCAGCCAAAATAATCCATACAACAACATTATCTAGTTTGGATCTTTAAAAAATCTTCAAATAATCTCTACACAATCTCTTCCCCTTCTGAGATATGAGTTGCCATGATCCCCAAAGTTCATAATGTTTTCCCGTAACCATTTGAAAAATCAAAAACTTCACCACAAAGCCAGCAGCAACTTCCCATTAAAGAGCATTATAAGAAAGTTTCAAGACCTTGGTACATCTTTATAACTCCAAGTTAAATAATGCATCAGTAGTTGTGAGCCTGGCGTTTGGCCAAAAAGAGACATAATTTAGAAAACAAAACAAAATTTATCCTTACAAATTAACATGCCAACATGATTAATCAATAAAAAAATTACCTTATCAACCTTGCTTATCTATCTTGTGTTAAATAAAACAACATCACATGCTTCACATGTATTGTCCGAATCTAATCCTATCGTATTGGTTGAAAGTGTAATAACTGAAAAATAAATAAATAAATAAAATTAAAATTAATGTTATTATTATTAGGAGTTTCAACCAAATATAGTAGTTTTGGGCACAATTGTGTTTTAAGGAGAAGTGTCCCATTCGAAGCAAAGAAACAAGCAAACGAAAAATATAACAATGGCCGAGAAGAAAGGAAACTCAAAGAGATTTGAGAGGGAGAGGGAGAGGGAGGTGGAGTGGAAGTAACTTACTTGTTGGTAGTAGCGGAACTTTTTTACGGAGCTGAGATACTTGGATTTCCCAACAAAGAGAAGTCGGACGTGTTCAAAGAAGACAAAGGACTTGATCAAACGGATGACGTGTAGAAATAAGATAATGTCGAGGTTTTGTACGGGAGGAGGCGTCGTCGAGCACCATATGTTAGAGTAGAAGAAGAAAAAGAAGCGGAGGAAGTTTTGTGCAACAAAAAGAAGGGAGTAGCCGCATGTGCATTCGGTGCACAAAGAAAGGAAAGTAGAATTTCACGTGCAGTGGCAGTTGTGCGGTTTTGTGGAGGATCAAAGACGAATCAAGCCCTAGCTCGAGAGAGTAGTTGCAATGTTTTAATTTGCGCGTGTGGTGTTTTCAATTGCAAGTTCAAGCGTAAGAAAGAGAAGGTGGAGCTTGCGCCCTGATTCCAGTGACGCGGATAATGGAAGCGGAGTCACGCTTTTGGAGGAGGTAAGAATTATAATTTTTATATTTTAATAAAAAAAATTATTGGTTTGTATATATGTAGTATCAATATATTTTCTAATAACGATAGTATCCAAGATTTATTTGAAATATAAAAAATAAAGTTTACAATTACTTATTTAAATTAGTATGAAAATTAATTGAATATTGAATAAAATTCAATACAAATCATAGATTTTGATTTTGCTGTATAGTCATATTAAACTAACATCAATACTTAGAATAAAAATTTCTAATAAAAAAATTAAAATAACATATTTAATTAAAATATTAATTAAATGGGACAAATTTATAAGATTGGCACAAGAAAAGAAAGACAGTGAATAGTACGAAACAAATTTCACTGCATTGTAAAGTTAAGTGTCATTATTGATTGCTACTATAGAAACAAAGTATTACATATTCTTTTCAGGATTAAAAGATTCGATCAAACAATTGTTGGTATATTTAGGGATTGATGAATAATTAGTACTAATGGAGTGAGCCAAAAACATGGAGATCAATTATCAGCTTACTCAGAAGTGTAAAGAGATGCACTATAGGAAGAGTGTTGATGAAGAAGGTGTAGATCAATCATAGGGATCCATTGTGAAAAGTCCAAAGTCATTTCAACAGGATTTAGTAGCGGAACGATTCAGAGTATTGTAGTTACTTGTGACAAATGTAAAATAAAACATAAGAGTGAATGTTTTACGGGCTCCAACACATGCTATTAGGAAAGGCAGAGGTAGACCTAGAAAGACTTGGCCATATTGTATAAAAAATGATTTTAATTTATTGGAATTAAATGAAAATATGACACTCAATAGTATGCAATGGAGAAAAAAGATTCATGTAGCTGGCCCCACTTAGTGGAAAAAGGCTTGTTGTTGTTGTTGTCCAACACATGCTATTAGTGTCATCAGCCAGGTCACATAGCTAGATATTATCCTTCACTTGGCCAGAAGAGGATAACACAAATGTTTTTTTGGGGGAGGAGAACGCCGGCATTTTTTTGCGGGAGGAGGCGCTATCGAGCACCCTACATTCGAGCAGAAGAAGCAAAAAAAGGAAGTTTTATGCAGCATGTGGAAAAGAGCAATGTGTGTGTTTTGTGCACAAAAGAAGGAGAAGAGAACCTCGCGTGGAGATAGTTGTGCAGGATCAAAGATGAACCGAGCCCTAGCTTGAGGAAGAACGGCTGCAGTGTATAGATTAGCGGGTGAGATGTTTTAAATTGCGAGTTCGAGTAGAAGAAAGAAGAGGCAGGCGGAAACCAAACTGAGCTTTTGTGAGAAATAAAAGTTATATATTTTATATTTTAATAAAATAAAAAATTTGTTTTGTATATATGTAATACCAAACAAATATTAGAATAATAATAATAGTATAAAATATATATTTGATATATAAAAATAATGTTTACAATTACTTATTTAAATAAGAGTGAATATTATGGATATTGAATAAAATTTAATAGAAATCACAGAAGTTGATTAAGGCTCTGTTTGGCGCAGCTGCAGGTGTGCTGCCTCAGGAAGCTGCTGCGAGGAAGCTGGCTACCTGTTTGTTGCAGCTGTGTGAAAAATAGCTGTGAGACTGCTCTTTTTGAAATATTGATCATTCTACCCCTGTTTAGTAAATTTGTTTGTAACAATGATAGGAAGCACAACTATCAATGATAGGGAGCACAAAATGTATAGCCACTAATAAATATAAGACACTTACGCAACAATAGAAACTAACACCTCTATTTTATTAGCAGGACCAATAATTAGACAAGCAAGAACTTGAATAAATTTCATGATGGCTAGATAGAAGACTCAATTAAAGCCTAAGCAAAGAGAGCAAACTCTAATATAAAGTATTAATATTAAATCCAGACAAAAAATTGAGCAAGTTAACCCTAGCATAGTTCTTTTCTTTTTTTTTAATAGAAATAAACAAGTTACATAAATTAAATGAAATTAGAAAGCAAGAAACTATTTTATCAAAGTAGATATACTAGGAGCTGCACAATATAAACAAATTAAAAACAAAGAAAGAAAAAAATAAGCAAATAGCACAAACTTGATAAAGCAGAATCAGTAAATACTAGGTGGGCATAGAAAACCAGACAATGAAGCAGGAGCATCAGATGCAACTTCCTTCCTCCAACTTCCCTGAGTGTGATCCTCAGACAAACTTCTATTACCCAAGCCACGACCCTTTCTTCCTGAAGCAAGGTCATCAGTCCCTTATCATCAAGCTTCTTCCAATCATGTCCCTTCTCAGCCAGCACTTCCTCTCTGGGGCAAGCAAGTCCAAATGGATTCGAACCCTTGCTATTAACGATTGAAGTATGCTTCTCCCCCTGATTAAATTCACCATGGCCATCTGTATTGTCGTTGGCCAACAACACCATCCAAGGCTGCAAAACAAGCCTAGGTCGCCCACTTCCTCCTTCCTCGCCCAGCTATCTGAATCTGTTATAGAACACCATCCCTCTTTCTCCCCAACATATCTGAATCCGTCAGAAGGTCACACTCGGCAGGGCGCGGGGCAGCTAAAGAACGCGGGAGAACTAACGAAGGAGAAATTAGGGGTACGGGAGTAAAAAAGCAAAGCAGTAGCGCAGGCCACAGGGTCTCACCCGCGGTCGGCGTTTCGCCTGGATTCGTGGCGTCCACAAGCGAAACGTCGCGCCAAACAATGCCTTTGCAATATGAAAGTAATATGAAAGTAACATGCATACTTAAAATAAAAGTTCCTAATCAACAATTAAAATGATAAAATTAGTAAAACGGATAATTAAACATAATTAATGCTATGCTTAAAATTTTATTTTTATGATATTATAGACAACTATCGATTGGAGATAAAGATTAAGCGTATTTGAATGTTTAAGAAGAGTCATACTTTTAAATTATAAAAGTATTTTTTCTTATAAAAGCCGATACACTCAAATTAAATTGCATGCCGCTGATATTTGTATATGTCAGTCAAAAGTATAATTCAAGTTATTACATTATGTATTAGGTGTAATGAAAAAAAAAAAGTGAGATTAACTATTTTAATTACTTACATGTGCATGCTCAACTATGATGAATTTCACTTATTTATAATACTAACGGGAGAACACTAAGATACTCATATACGTAAATGTAAAAAATAATATTGATATTGATGTATCTTAATTTATACAAATTTAGACTGTGCACATGTAACAGTTGTATGTGATTAAAAAAATATTAATATGTAAACGATAAAGTAAGACATTATTATTCAAAATCATCGTGAATAATCATTTTAGATAATACAAACCTTCAAATGCTCTTATTTTTTGACATAAAGTTTAACTGATATGCATATTATTTTCTTTTTTAAAATAATTACTATAGTTAAGGAATATGAGTATGCAATAACTTTAATTAGTTGATTGTTATTTTAAATTAATATTTTAGGTTTAATTATTTGATTAAAAAATGAACAAAAAATACAAAATATTTATAAAAGACGCAAACAATCAAAAATGATGTAAATTTAACTGTACTATTTTAATATACTTTATATAATATATTTCATATATTTATGGATGATTAAATAATAATTATAGAAAATAAATGTAAAAAAATTAATTTTCACCGTTCGATCGTCAGTTCTCGTCTTACATAAATTTCAAACCCCGGGTCGGGTCGTGATAGATCATTTGGATACATGTGGCAGTGTTCCCTAATCATAAGCCTTCTAACTAGAGTCGTTCCATTCCATTCACTAGTTCAATTGAGTAATCAATCAAACTGCACTAATTTATGAATTCGTGTGTTAATCTATAATTGAATCCATCATAAATCATAAACATGACTCACCGAAAATTCATTTCCTTTTTCATGAATATATAATACATTTAAACTTGTTATGATATGAATTGATTCATTCAACAAATGCTTAAACAATGCTTCAAAAATCTTTAAATGCTAATTGCAATTGCAAGTTCCAAATCATAGATCAAAATATTTTTCTCATGCACCTTAAGCAATCAAGAAGAATAAAAAAACAAGACAGTGTAGATTGGAAATTTTAATCCCAAGCTAATGGAAATGGTTTGTTATTCCATCATGCTTTGCATGAACCCAAACATGAAACTTGGAATGCACTGCTTGTATGGTTAGACTTAATAGACTGTTTAGTGGCTTCTGAAATGCAAATTTTTAAAGCAAAAGGAATTCCATCTCTTTTTTAAAAAAAATAACAGAATTGATTTCAAAGTTAAAGACAATGGTCATACTTGAATTAAGAATAATAGCATGCAAGATATTAAAAAGTCTTGTTTTTTATTCCACTCACTGCTCAAGAAGATTTATTTAATAAAAACACTCATGTTAGGTCCCTTAGATAGATCAACTAAAATGAAAAAGAACAATCCATCTATTACACCTAAAGAAGTGTCAAAATCACGCAGAGTCCTAATAATTGCATGCATTAACTTCCACAAAGAAAAGAGGGGGAGGGTGAAGACACCCCATGAAGACACCCACAAGTCTTAGAGAGGGGATGGCCAAAAAGTGAGTTATGTCGTGGAATGGAATGTACAGTATCATTGGTTTCTATTCATTAACTCAAAACTTCATATCTGATTCAACTAACTTGTTTTTACATGCTTAATTGAATGTGGAACATTTTAGAATTATCAATGTCATGTCAAAGTTAGTGTTGCAAATGAACCCTGCCAAAATGTATTAGTAATTATATATTTATACCATTTCAATTTTTGTGTGCGCGAAAACTTTTGGGATGATTGAACAGCAGTGGATTAACATATGTCCTCCAAATATCTATATTATCTTAACAAAATGAACTTATATATAAAGGTGGCACTTGTGAAAAGATCATTCGCATTGCAACTCTAGGATAGATATCCTTCCTCGCAAAAACCTACTTAAAGTTCTATTTTCAATTCAAATCATACGTCACTAAATAATAAAGCATTGTCATTTTCATTGCATCTATAACACATGTTAACACAAGCTCCTATGCTCAAGTTACAACCTATTAACATATTTTTTGTGCAATCCTTGCAAGTCTTTGATGGTACTTATCAACCCTTGATATCCATCACTCAATAATCCATCATAACATTATAATTGATACCATGTGCATCACAGTATTATAAACTTCCACATTAAGCAAAACCATAGGCGGCACATACTACTTTCTTATGCTAAATTCCTTATTCAATTGTCTGACAGCCATTTGCCCAAAAGCAATGAAAAAAGAACCACAATTCGTACAAGGAAAAGGCCTCAGGTACCCCTCATTTCCTTTGCATGATTAATCCATGGTTTTTTATTTAATTCATGAACAGAACTTATTCACATAATAATAATGATAATGATGATGATGATGATAAAATTAATGGTTAGTTGTTTTGAGTATTATTTATGTTGGATTATCAAGCATAAGCAGATCCTTTTCTCCTCTACTCACCTTCACAATCTCTCCTTCATAAAAATAAAAAAAATAAAAACTAGAACTATCTTATACAATAAAATCATAGGATAACCCTAATATGGCTCCAACATCCACGAGACTAATGCAATTCAAGCATGCACAAACCCAAAGACAACCCATCATAGACTCTCTAGCGGAGCACCATAATGGGGATCTGAAACTACCGAACACTTGCATCTGGATCAAATGATTGCACAACAATTAGTTCCTCGCACTAAAACATATAAATTTTCCAAAATCAACTGTTTTTCCATCGCAAACATACCAATTCATCATAAATCCAGACTTGCATACGGTAAACCCACTCAACATTATTCCCAACATCAAACTCCGACAGCATACCCAAAGTCATTAACAGGTAGAATAAAGGAAACCCTAGAACCAAAACCCTCAGAAAACAACTTACGTTGGGAAAATTGATTAACTAGTGAGCCGAATACCTCCATTCTAAGCACTGGCCAGAGTCCCGGTAAAGGGCTGGGTACGTTCTCAGAAGAGGACGTGAAGCGTAAGCAGGCGGAGGGAACCAGGGGGTAGGAGAGAAGGCAAAGAAATTGGCAGCGTGGAGAAGACAGAACCCCAGTGGAGGCGAGACGATTTCGAGTTACAATCGGATTGAGGAAACGAATCCCAACGATATTGGTGACCGACATGGCTCTATGCTCACCGTTGTCGCTGCAGCTGACACCTCATGCAATAGTTTTCTTACCACAGTCATCAGGATTCCTCGAGAACGCAGTGAGCAGGAAGCAGATTGAACCCTCGCGACCGTTCGGTGCTTCTGGGGCTCCATGCGCGGGCGTTATCAAGGTTCGGATAATACCGAACAAATGATTAATTATTGAAAACTCCACATACTATCAACATATTTTCATTCGAAAAGGCTTTCGAATCAGATTACCGGTAACAATCCGTGTTTGGTTCCAAATACCTTTCATTCCAATTTTATTTAAGCCTTTATTCGAATCAATTTCCAATCCAGTTGGCTCAATACTTACTCCTAAGTAGGGCTCTCAAATAATCTGTCATTCATAAATAACTCCTGTACGATTCATTACATAGTTCTTATTTGATCATTATTTAGAAAAAGTGGCTGAATATGAATAATTTTTTTGAATTTGATTTATAAATGAGTCGGATATTAATAAATATTTGTTCATTCGTATTCCACTTATTTTTACTCGAAATATTTAAATAATTAAATACTAATATTTTTTATATTATGTTTACATTAATTTTGTATATGATACCTAAAAAATAAATTTGGATGGTATAAATGTAAAAAAGTAAAGTCGGAATACTTAGGTCAGATTTAATGAAATTTAACTAGTTTAAAGCAATACAAAATATTTTGGTTTGATGAGTTTTAAACAATTGATTTTTTTTTTACCTTAACTCGAAACTCAATAGATCTAGGGACTATTTGGGACAGCTTTCAGATTGCTTTATTTTTCAAATCGCCACAACAGTTCTGTTTGTAGAACTGTTTCTTGTTGTTTCCTAAAAATTTATGTGGCAGAAAGCTATTTTTTTCAATCTAAATTATGGAAGTTTGGTGGTTGTCAGAAAAATGTGGTTTGGATTTTTGGAATTAAAATAAATTTATAATGGTCACCGCGACTTTTTAAATGATAGCTTCATAGTTGCTTCTTCGAACCATTGCAGCTGCCCCAAACTGACTCTTATTTTAAGGTATTCATTTAATCAAATATTTTCATATTTTGTCCACTTGCAATCTTGTATGGTTGTATTATCTACAATAATATGAGTTATCGAGCGAGTAAAAAAGGATTATATTTTATTTTACTATTTTTTTATTAAACCTGACCTCTGAAGTCTCACCAGTTGTTGTGTTATTCTTATTAAGTCCGATCGTCGGATAGTCCCATCTCGTGTCTTACACTTTATATTTATACAAGTGTCAGATATATAAATACATAGGAATTAGCTTTTATTTATGTAAATGCCAAAATAAAATAACACAAGGTCATGGTTTCTTGTACTCACATTCCCTACTCTTACATTTATGTAGTCGCACATCTATAGAAAAATTTGATTAACATGTTTGGAGCTATTTAAATATAGGAAAACTATTTGTGCGCCAAAGGCCTATTCTAGCTTGCCCCATGTGGTGTGGTTTGCCTGGCTGTCTAACTCACGAGTTGACTCGAGCCAAAATCGAACAAGCTTGTCTTAAGATGGTCATGAATAAATTTGAGTAATATTAAGTCAAATATGAGCATACTCATTATGAGCTTAATTCGAACACGAGTCGATTTAGAACATATATTAATGCAAACTAGGAGAACACAACCATAACTTCAGCTCACTCATGTTTGGCACGTTTATACCTCTAGTTTAAAAAAATGGAAAGTAAAAGCGGAGTTTGTGACAATGGCGTGTGAGGAGAAGTGGAGGCCCAATAGTTGATTTTCGTAAATGTTACAACCTGAATCTATAAGGCAGTATGTCTCGACAATAAAGAGCAAGATAAAATAAATTTAACATGTTTTGTATACTAAAAAAAAAAGATTTAATGTAAGTAATAATAAAAATAAACAATAGAAGTTAAATTTTATTCCATAAAAAAGAGTGAAATTGATACAACTAAAAGAAAATCAAAACTAGCTAATGCAAAACTGAAATGACAACAGAAGAAACAACTGCCTAAAGCCCAGTAGAAGAAAAGCAAAAAAAAAAAAACTAAAATAAATGTTGAAAATACCAAAAAGAAACAATCTAGAACTGGAATGTTCGATCCTGTGGTCGATCCTGCTAGTGGTTGAAAGGAATCTGCTATACGAAAATATCAATTGACAATTGGTGAGTTGAAAAATGAAAATTAATAAATAACCAATATTTATTAAAGCATAAATGACAAAAAATTGGGGCATGCAGTAGGAATAATAATGAGAGAAATTTACTATATGTATAATAAAGTTAGTAAAAGGATTATCACATGCTTATGGTTATGAATACGAGTGATCTCAACATATGCACTTTTTTGTAGATATTTATAGATTACCACATAATATTCGCTTATACATATAAAGTTTAATGATCTCTTAACACTACATGATAATGTACAAGTGTAGTAGGTGTATATATATAGTTAGATTTACATAGTCAGTTTCCTACATCACCCTAAAACAAGAAAACACCAATCTCATGAAAATTCAATGATTTCTCAAGGAATATGGTTATTGTGTTAGTCATAACAAAAAGATTTAATACTGACACATAATATTATATAATCAGTTTTATCTCTTGCATCACAATCAAAGAGCAAATATATAACTATAACATGTCCACCAATATCTATAAATATTTAGAAATTTTCAATAATTAGAGTTAACACATCAACGCAATATTAAATTTTGGAAATACGAGACATGCATAATTAAGCAAGAGCCTATGCATCAATAAAGCAAAACTAATTACTTATATAACTCATTATGAACAATAAATAAAATATATTGCAATTATAATAACATAAGTTAAATGATATGACAGAAATACATGCAATTAGCTAGAAATCTTATATAGTAGCTAGGACAATGCCCCTAACTATGAATAGAATGTTCATCTCATAATTTACCTCAAATTGTTAAATATTGGGTTTTGAATTTGTAAGCAGTTTAATTAGCAATGCCTTGCAGAGTTCTCAGAAATCCTAGACCAATGAATATCCAACTAACTATAAATAGATTAATGGGAGTATAATTTTATTTATTAAGAAATTAATTGTTACTTAACTAGTTTAGGTGATTTTATAATATAACCAAATTTGTTATCAAACTCTTTAATATTGCCCTTAACAATAATATTGATTAAAGTTAACTCGACATGGTTTAAGATGAGTAATTAGACATTTGGGCATGAAATTTCAAATTCATAAATGCTTTAGACTTTAGTTCATGCAATTAATAAGATTGAATAAATTAAAAAGAATGAAAGTATAAATCAAAGAGGAGTAAGTTCATCATAGATCTCGGCTACAGAGGTAAGGACGACGAAGATGAGAAGGTGCTAAAGGAGGAGGAAGATCAAAGTTTCAATGGTTTCTATACGCCATGATCCCCTTGTTGTCGTCATATATAGCTCTAATCTTGATTGTGTCACGAGAGTTTGAAGAATGAGGAGAAGTTGACACGGAGATTTGTATATGCAAATATTTATGACCACTTAACGACGCCAAAAACTCGATGCAAGCAGATTTATAATAAATATGTAATATGATCCTAACAAAAATACTTTTTATAAATATAATTTAACCTTTAAAACTCTTTTTAAACTGTCAAATCTCTCTTAAATATCAACGCAAGTATACGTATCGTTCAAAAAATAAAGGGTTCTAATGGAGTCTTAGATATCGATCCCACAGGGAAGTTGAAAAATCTTAAAGTAAATTATGAAAATTATTTTATAATAAAAACAAAAATAAGTAAACTGTGAAATTTGAAAATTGACTACTCAGGTGAATGCTAATTAAAGTGCAGATGTAAAATCACAGAAATTAAAATAAATTTAATACTAAACTTTCAAAAGTAAAATTGTTAAAATTAAACAAAGTTTTTGTTGTGACGGAAAGTTCAAATTTAAAAAAGCATCATTCCCCTTTACAATGAGTATATGGTTTGTAAACAAATTGAAATCATTTGAAAATACATATAAAAACTGTTTTGTGTCAAATAGGAACAATTCTATTCTTTACCCTCTTCCGAGTGCTATAAAGAACATTGACTAATCTAGAGTTTGGTCCCTAATTATGTGTTTAGGCTGAGACTCCCGCCTGCCACTCCAGAGCTCCCACTACTCCCTCCCCTGAGGGCTAATAATCTCACATTAGTTTACAATCAACTGAACCAAATTGGGGGTTTTAATCTGTCACCTTAAAATCTCAATCCTACCTCTAACAAAGTATATTTCCCTATTTATTTGCACCTCCCAATGGATGACATACATTTCAATTGGTCAGATTGAAAAGTAAATGAAGATCGAAGTTCAAATCATCACAAATTACTATCATTTAAAACCATAGAAAATAAAATATATTCTTTTAAAACAATATCTTCAAAGTAAGGAGAAGGATAAAGAAGACTGCTCATAATTCATGAGAAGGAATTCATGAGAAGGATACGATTCATGAGAAGGATACGATAAAACATGAATTTTAAATATAAAAACAAGTTTACAAAATAAAATAAATAAAAATACAACTTCTCTCACAATCCTTCTCAAACAAACCTCTAATAGTTCTCTCCAAGTGTTTCTCTCTTTACAATCACTCCCAATTCTCTCTTAGAAATGTAATGAAGAAGAAATCTCTCACATTCCCTCTTCTCTTACAAACTCAAAAGAAAATCTACTCTTCTTTCTCTCTCACGTCACACCAAAAGCCTCTCTCCTTTTTGTCCCATTCTAGCCTCTTCAAGTCTTCTTCTTTAATTTGGGTTGCCTCCTTTTGAAAGAATTCCCTCCAAAAGTCAACTCTTTTGAATTCAAAAGATGTGTCAATTGATCCAAGAGTCACATCCTTTCATAAAAGAACTTTCCAAAGTGTCTAGATGTATTGAATTACTTCAAGAGATGTGTAAAACAAGTGTCCTTTTGAAATTTGCGCAAGAATTTGTCTTGAACTGCCTTAATTTGAAAAAGTCGTCCTTGGCGCATTATGCACTAGCTCTCTGGATTTTGGTGTATCATGTGCCAATCTGGCGCATCATGCGTCAAAATCCAAAATTGGCTCTTTTTGCTCCAAATTTTGTCCTTTTTGTCATTTTTCCTCCAAATACCTAAGAATGATTTCCCTTAACATGAAAATACCCTTCTTTAAAGTGTAATATCACAAAAAAT